GCTCCTTGGAGCCAGATGGTGTTAGAAACGTGAAGATAACGGAACAACTGCCTCGTGAAGTTTTTATGTATTTGACATCCAAACAACCAAAGACATCATTCTCGGAACGTCCCGAAGAGCCGGAGGGCTTGCACAAGAAATCAAATGGTCTAGGTGGTGCAGAAATGAGTGTTTTGATAAATCTGCTCCGAATACTGTATGATTACTGGTTTTTCGCACTCGCAGAATAGCGATGAATCCCTACCCAGAAAAGATCATGGTAAGGCAGCTGTAAAGGAGCACTATATTTGATTAATCACGGCTAAATATTGACGCACTACGACTGACTTGTTACAGGATCTCTTCCGAGCAGACCATCTTTGCGTAGTACGGCGCGGTGTCTTCTGGTGTGAATGCTGGATCATATTCCGTCATCTTGTCCGGTCGGTTACATCCATGAAGGTCGCCATCGCTACTGAATCCCATGCGACCACAGGCTATCGGTTCTACAGAGGTATTTGTCGCTACGACTTGATAAACGACGGCTCTAATTTCACTGTGGCTGTTATTACGTTTGAATCTGGATGTCAACTCTACAGTAGGACCGATATTAGGTTGGTAATTAAGACTCTTGTTTATGGGCTATGAACATAATGCTCTTGAACACTAAAAGGACTTGGAAAACTATAACAAACTCACCAAAACTAGAAATGGAAGTTTCAGCGTACTTACTCGCAAAATGTTACTGTTTTTTCGTGTTATTTTTATGTTAAAATTCAGCATGCAACAGTCCTTAGCATCTAATTGGATAATAATTCCAAATGCTGACAGAGCATCATAAGTTGCTGCTACTTTCAAAAATCGCGCACTATACACCTGGTAGGCTGACTCGTACATACGTAATTATGAAATGCAACTGATACGAAAAAGCAGTTTTGTAGACTACGAATCCATTGATATATATATAGAATAATAGGCATGCTGTTAATACCGATACAAGGTCACATGTGGACAACATTTGTGTTCAAAAATCTACCAGTAGTTAATTTTGCGTCAATTAGGTGTTTACGTGTCACTACAATGGTGTGTCTTTGGTTTTCTAACGTTTTATTTTGTGTCGCTTTTAAAATCCACATTTGATTATTTCAGAGAAAATAAGTGGCATTTTTGTATATTCATGCTGCTTTTCGAATGGCGCTACAGCACAGCTACAGACATAAACGAAGCTTGACGTGCTCGTTGACGACTGGTTTTCCACGCGTTTTGCAGGACGTGTGAAGTTTCATGGTAGGCAGTATTTTAGACGGTACTGGTATCAACGTCATACTCTGATGATTGTCATATAGGATTCATAGCATTTTTTGAATGATGAGTAATACGACGGCTTCATTTGAGAGTTATGGGACACTCAGTTTGCCGTAATCTTTCAAACAATGCCTTACTCTCTATAATCCTAGGTCCTAGGTAGAATACAATTAGTGTCACCGTTTTTGTTTTTCATAGATTAAAGTATATAGTTTGTTGGTGCAGTATAGCAGACAGCGGTTCCGTTGGGTTTCATTTATATGATTGACTTAGTTTGTTTGTTGCTTTATTTTTCATTGACTTAAAAATATTATATGAAGTTGGAGGTGAAGTTTATTGATGTGGGACATCTTTTCACTTTGTCTTCTTAGTATGAGTTGTCTTCTGAATGTAGCGTAATATGGGGAACTGACATTCAGATGATCTCATATACAGTGTCAGAAGGGCAAGGTTGACGGTGTAGTAATGATGTCTGCACACAGTGCCTTATTTCATTCGGTATATATATATATATATATATATATATATATATATATATATATATATATATGTCAATAAATTAGAAAGTTTTTCAGGGAGTTTTACTACAAGGTTGTAGTTATGAAGTATGAATGTTCGTTCCTAAAGGTGACGTTTTTAACCGTTTCTCTGTCATATTTTGAATTTTTGTAATCTGACTGGATTAATTTCTTAGTTGAACATGTAATGCTGATGTAATTAATGAGTCTATTACAGATATACTGCCTGTGTATACAGGTTGTCTTCATTACTAGTTCCTCAAGTCAAGTAAATTGAGTGGTTCTTAACGATCCAGTGGTTGCTGCAGAAAACTACAGTGTTGAGCATGAATCATTATTGTTATCACTGAGGATCATGTGAAGATTTTAGCTGTTTCTTAAGTGAGAAGCTGCCAGGGTTTGGTATTTCTAACCATTCCACGAGTGCAATGTATCCCACTGTTATGTAGCTCCTCAGCAACATAACAGTGAGTATTGGGTTCAAATCTAATCGCGAAAAAAATTGGAATTCACTAAGCAGCCCCGTGCACATTCGTGCAGTAGGAAGAGAACACCTATTTTATGAGGGTTAGTGATACTACCTGACTGCACAAACCTTGGTAGAGGGAGCGGGGTTCGAATCTGTGACCTATAGGTTGAAAGTCATCTCTCTAAGCCAATGAACCACAACTCCTCCTCCTCCTCATCATCATTATCAACATAGGACCAGGCATTACTGCGTAACGGTCCGAGTTGCCACACCTCATATCAGCACATCAAGTAAAAAGGTAGTGAGGTGAAGGATGAAGATAAGTGAATGCAGTCAAAAGAAATATAAAGTATGAGAAGAAAAGAAAGAGGAGTGACAAAATGGTGAGATTCGGTATAGCGTTGTTAAGATGAGGATAATGGGTGTATACATCTGCGCCACTGACTTCGGTTCTGAGCCATATCACCTAGGGTCTCCAACCACTGGTTCCTCTTGTCCCGTGGACCACAACTCCTACGTACCTTAGTTTAGAAAACCGAGTAGTACCACAAGCTACCTTCCTGCTTGGCACATAATCTAAATCAACCTGTGCAGGGTTACTGAGTCCCGCTGTTATGTGATGTCTTGCTTGTTACGTATGCGCCGAGTTTGCATTTAAGATACTGTCTGATAAGTGTATTCTATCTGTATCAAAACAAGGTTGGAACTTCATATAGGAGTAAAACTTGGAAACTGTAGTAGATTGTAATTCCATTTTAGTCTGTTTATTAGAAATGTCACAGTGAAACAGTATCATTTACTGGATAACATTTCGGACAATTTATTATCTATATTCGTATCAGGTTTATACTTCATGTTCTATTTGACAGGTTATCCAAGACAACGAAAGAATTAAACGTTATGCTAGCAATTATCATAGAATCACTTTTCATGAAAATTTATCTACGTTAAACTTTCACTATCCATCACGTTTTCTGGGTTTCTGAACACTTGAATAGAATACATTTCATCATCTACTTAAGCATTTTGATGAGAAAAACGCAATACGTTTAGTCTGCAGAAGAGGGGTAGTATGTGGTACGGCTTGAATAAATGGTGACATTTAGTGCTGTCATTTTGGATTCAGTAAAGACTTTTTGCTATCATATTTCAAGATTGATTTATTCAATGTCCATAGCGATCGAAAGTAAAGGTATATCTGTCGTGTAAACGCAACTTGTAATTTACGTGGAGTATAACGACGCAACTTGCCAGCTACGTGAAGGCCAGTGTACTAGGCTATAAAAGCAAGTAGATTAGGTAAACCTCAGTTCTAGTGCTTAAGTGGATCATAGTTTCATCCATCCATCCAAATCAGCATAAGACCAGACACTACTGCGTAACGGTCCGAGTTGTCACGGCTCATATTAGCACACCGAGTAAAAAGGCAGTGAGGTGAGAGATGAAAAAAATTCAGTCAAAAGAAATATGAAGTGCTAAAAGAGACCATCTTAGTCGATGAAGGTTCACAACCGTGTCAACTGATTTATTTCTCCTCTCTAAAACTCTACTCCTGACTTTGCACTACTCACGTGGTGACACCACGGAATACGTCCTATACTACGGAGGCAACGGTGGTCAAATACCTGAAGCCTTCTCATGTCTTCCACCTTGAATGGCCATGTTTCACAGTCGTACAGTAAAACAGAGCGAACTGCTGTGCAGGTACAGTACATACGACCCTTAATAGACAATCGGATATCACAGCGGCGCCATAGGTAGCGTAAGTTGGCGAAAGCCAGCCGAGCCTTTTGTATCCGTGCAGAGATTTCACCGGGCACTGAGCCACCAGGGTAGGGCTGATCCTACTTTCCAGGTAAGTGAAATGGTTGATACACTCAATCACCACACTCTGTTGTTAGCCGAGGCACCGTTGAAGACCAATCTTGAAGCAACAACTTGCATTTGGACGGTGAGAAGCGCATCCCAAACATTTTCAAATTGCCACTCAAAGTGTTCAGAAGACTACATCTTGTCAGCGTCTTCACCTAACAGGACTAAATCATCTACATCTAAGTCTAACGAAAATCCTCCTGCGATTAGGTCAACCTCTGTGTAGTCAGGTGACGAGAGAGGAAGACCTCCATAAGAATATCTGTGGTAAAACTGAATAAGAATGGAGACAGTCGACACCCTTGACGGACACCACTCGATGAGCATGGTTCTCTGGACATCTCACCATAGGCTCTAACATGCCCACAAGTGATCGAGTAGAGAGCCTTCAATACGGTGATGTACTTACTCAGCACGCCTTTCAGTGAGAGACATTGCCATAAGACTTCTCGACTAACGGAGTCGAATGCCGCCTTCAGGTCGAGAAATACAGCTATTGTTGGGCCTCGGTAAGCGTGTTTATGTTCTAGGACCTGGCGCAGTGTGAATATTTGGTCGATACACCCGCGGCCTGGTCTAAAGCCTGCTTGGTTTTCTCGGGCTTGCTGTTCCGGAGCTCCAACCAGGCGTCGGAGAATTATAGAACCTAGGATCTTGGACACTACGTCCGTCAAGCTAATTCCTCTGTGATTGTCACAAGAGGACTTCTTGCCTTTCTTGAATACTGGCATAATCAGTGATTTAGGCCAGCCAGAGGGAATCATATTTGATTCCCATATATATATATATATATATATATATATATATATATATATATATATATATATATATATATATATACTGGTTAACACTTCCATTGATAGGAATAAGAGCACTGTACCACCATCCTTGGATACTTCAGGAGTTAGTCCTGCTGTACTTCTTCGTTTCAGGTTACCTACTGCTTTCTCGACTTCTGCTAGTGTTGGGGGGCCTATCTCAATGTCCCATTCAGGATCCGACTGGATAGAGGGCAACGCAATGGTGGTTGGAGGCCAGTTAAACTGTCCCTCGAAGTATTCTGCTCATCGTTCCAATCGCCTCCCCTGCGAGTTAATCGCAGACCCGTCCTTCTCCGCTATGGTCTCACTAATCGTTGTTGACCTTCCTCTCCCAGTCTCCTTAATAAGTCTAAATAACTGTCTACTGTTACCAATCGCCGCTGCCTTTTCTATCTCTAGCCTTCACTGCGCACCACTTTGTGATCGTTGCGTAGACTTTTTCTCAATCTACTTTTAAGTTGCGTTCGCTCTTCGTTGTACTCAAAGCCTGCAGGAATGCGTTCACGTGCATCCATTAGTTGGGAAGAAGCTGCTGATATCCACTGGCTCTTTTTAGCCACTATTTTGGAGTCGGCTACGGTCTTCAACGCTGCTTTTACAGTAGACTGGAGATGGCACCAAGCTTCTTCTAGATGAGTGGTAGTCTTCTGTTCTGGTAACTGCCTAGCCAACTTCTCACTAAGTAGGGCTTTGGTGTTTTCGTTGTCCAGCAGCACTCGTAGTGGTTTTGTTGCCAAGTTTTTCCTACACCCATTGAGACACAGGCATATATGCGCTCGGACCAACGCGTGATCGCTACCCAAACATGTACTCCAGAAGGAGCGTCAATCTTCCACCGATCCTCTCCAGCGATGACTAATAGCAATGTGGTCTATCTGTGTCCATCGCTGAGTTGAGCTCGGTGGACGCCAGGTCAGACAGTGTCTTTCTTTATGTCTGAAATTTGTGCTAGCTAAAAATAGGCGGTTACCTGAGCATAGTTGTAGTAGGTGATCACCGTTATCTGTTCGTTCACCCGGACTCCAAAAGTGCCACTTAAGTGCCTCTTTACCTCACTCAGTCTATCTATCTGTGCATTGAAGTCACCTGTAACGACCACCACATCTGGTCGTTTGGCTTTCGAGAGTAGGCTAGACACTTTACGGTAGAACTCGTCCTTGACTTCATCCGGACTGCAGTCAGTGGGTGCGTAAGCAGGGATTACAAAGAGACAACGGCAAATCTCACTATTCCTCTTAGTTCTCACTGTGCCGTCCAGTCGGATAGCGTACAGGCGACTATCAACTGGGATCCGGTTTAGTAATGAGTTTTCTGCCCTAGTGCTTAATACCATGCATACATCTGCAAGACCGCTAGATTTAGCTATCGAATCTCCAGAAACTCGAAGGGTGAATTTTGCGCATTCACCAGATTGGTCGAGATAGGTTAGGTGAATAACCGCACTTGGGTCCATAGTTTCATAATGCGATAAGAGTCTTCAGTAAAACGAAAATATTAGTCTTACATTTATGTTACTTGGGCCAAATTATATTTTTGTTTGTATAGTATTTTCAGTTTGACGAGTGAAATTATCAAGTATTCTGGTTAAATATCAGGTGAATGAGCTTGCTAACTTTGTCTTAAGCGTATGGCGAAGCGTAGACTAGTGGGTTCTAGTCCTCAAGTTGACAAGAATCAGTGGTTGAGAACTCTTGCTAGTATGACTTAGAATCGACCACAAGGGCACAAATGGACACACTTTAGATCATCGGAATTCGTACATTTTCAGTAACCTTCATCTGTTTATTCTTACTCCACTCATCGACTTTTCTCCATTTTTTGTCTACCTTTTTACGTGCTGCTGTGAGGGGATGTACTTTTCTGCTGCGTTCTGTGTTGATTTCTTTGCTGTCTCTATCTGCGTACTTCGCTAAGAAGGATAGCCTGTATTTGCTGAAGGTTTCCTCTTGAAGTTCACGAAAAGTTCAATGGATTTAATTCCACTTGGGTAATTGGTACTCTAAAAATATATGAAGTTCGGTGATTGCCTGAACTATCTTCATGTTTTAAGAAAAAAATAGAATAGCGATGCGGAGAAATAGAAAATATTTTTCGTTGTGCCGTTTTTCACTATTTTTGCAGCACTGTAGTTGATTTTGCCTTCTATATGTCATTGGATGAAAATGTGTATTGCGAACTTACTATAAGCCCGCTAACATTTTAGTTATGTTTTTACAAATGTGGTACACTTAGATTTTTATTTATTCAATTTTAGGCAAGCAATCTCCACTGTGCTTTAGCTGTGGCTTTAAGTGAAAAATCAATACCACCCCCTCCTAAGTTCATCAAACATCGTGAAGAGCTATGGAATAGACTGAAGAAAGAGCATGATGATTTTATTGCTTCCCAACCACGTTCTCCAATCGAGATTACCTTGCCAGATGGTTCCATTGTAGATGGAAAGGCTTGGGAAACTACTCCAATGGAAGTGGCCAAAAATATTAGGTAATTTTCTCGAACGAATATAAGTTTTTGTGTCTCTAGGTTTATAAGTTGATATGTAAGGTTCCATACCTTCTTATGCGTCATGTACTATAATTTCCTTACTTGGATAGATAGATAAATTTCCAAGGAATAAGAATTTCATTATTGAACTATTTGCTTCATTGGCTTTTCTAGTTTGATCTGTCATTATGAATTTCAGTTGTTTTACTTGAAGCTGTGAGCAAATGAGTACTGAAATTTGTTGAACTGAACTTTATGGGCAACTGCGTGCTTGTTTATGTACTGAACAATGAACCATAGACTTATACTAATTGACTTCGCAAACCTCAATAGATGCACAGCGACTCGAATCTGTTACTCTTTGGTTAAAACTCAACTGCTCAGACCAGTGAGTCACAGTTCCGCATTAAGATGACTTTGTATGGTAGCATCTTAAGTTAGAGAGAAGCACTGACGATAGAGTAACTTGTATAGACCCAACGACAAGGCGTTTTGGTGAGGAGTATACTTTATCTGTAAAAATATACTGCTGTATGTAGACTTATATATTCATTCATAAGTCTAAATGAGAGGATCTTGATGAAAAATAACAGTAATGGTTACATCCTATGATTCGACGTAACTAGATAGTACTGTTATCCGTAAATTTATTACTCAGAGTGATATTACTACTAAGCAACTTGTTCTTAGAACTTTATGTACTTAAATTCTGCAAAATATTTTTATGGCTTCCGATGCAATATTTCTGCAGTAATGCTTCTTTTTTGAACTGTCATATATTCGCTGGTTGTAATTTGTTAAATTACCTGGGTATGTTAGGATACGCGAATTCTGTTTGCCAGAGTTCAGAGGCTATCAACTAAACCGAGAAAAAACGTTTTAGCATTCAAAACATGCACATTTCTGGGTGTAAGTCTGAATCGTGTAGAAAGGACTAGGCTGTCTGACTGGGGTCCTTGAGTCAATAGGAATCAGTGGTTAGGGACTTGATGATATGGCTGAAAATTGGTCACAATGGAGCAGATTCACTCACTCTTTGACATGTTCAAAAGTTTGAACATCTTGATTAACCTTTATTTATTTAAATTGTCTCTCCTCTCATAAACTTTGATCTATTTCGGCGTCATTCTTTTTCAACCACTTATTCTTTGTATGCTGTTGCCAGTGTGGCAACTTGAATCAATCTACTTCTGTTAATGTTCTGCATTGGTTTGTTTGTCTGTCTGTAGCCGCATAAAATTGGGGTTGTGTCGAGCACTCCTAATGAAAGTTGTACATTTGTTTGTATCTGTTTCTAAACATCCAAAAAGAAATATAATTGAAATTTGTTATAATTTTTGTCGGACAAATTTGGTATTAAAGTTGAATTATGGTGTACGGCTGTAGATTCATCAAAAATTTGCGTGTCAAAAAACGCAACTCATTGTATACGTGTTAGTTTATTATTTTGGCTGACTCCCTTCATTTTTAGTGTCCTCAATATCTCCTGAATTCTCTTAATCTCTTTCCCTTACAACTCATTTTCTCCAACTTTTTGTAATTTCAACCTCTTGTAATTCCAAATTCCAAAACTCCACCACTTACCTGAAGCCATGCTTCATACTGGATCTTGAAACAAATCATTTCCCACAGTGTCATATTGGTCAACAGGCCTATGCAACTGGAGTTCTAAAAGCTTCAAGACCACAGATGTATATTTTTTTGAGACGTGGATGCAAAACCTACATGGTTACTGAATATCATTTAGCCAAGATTGTTAGTATGTTTCACACCTCAAATGTCTGAAAGTTTGATGAACAGCTCATGTAGCTTTGTTGATGTAGCATTTAATTCACGGGAGAAAAACTGCATCTTTCGGTTGTGTGCTATGCGGAACGACATGGTAGGAAATTAAAAGGATCATGATACACACGAATGTCTTTTCACAATTTCCATTAATTTAGTGACTGGGAAGGCGAAATATGAGTTTTACAGTTAGTCATATGGCCTTCCATCAAAAATTGAGCAAGGCAGTATGTCATCATATCGAGTGACTTCGGTGCACCAGCTAGGTGGTACTTCTGGAATCTTGGACTAGTGAGCTGATTTTGCGTTCAAAATTACTATCCCAGTAATGCTGGTCACATTTAGAGATAATACCATATATTTGATGCTGAGTAAATGAAAACTAGACCGTCAAAAAGAGAAAACTTCGTTCTTATGTCTTCGTTTAATCAATTATGTCGTCTGGTTTCTGCGAGCAAAACATTGTTCAAGATATCAACAAGTTGGCTTAGACCTGACCGATAGCTACTATTTTGATGCATTGATTAGGTTCACTTATCACAATAACGTAACGAGTTATGCTGGTGGATCTCTTGTTCTTTTGAAGTAAATCACTGCGCTTTGATGGGGCGAAATCGTACTACTGTCTGGATGACGGTGTGATGGCAGTAAGGTTTCCTACGAACGGCAATCAGTCCCATACTGATGATACTGCCTTCCCTTTGGGAAGGGAGTGCGTTAGAAAGGGTTGGCTTCCATAATATCTTATTTCTCATCGCCCTGCGCTCTTCCGGTCTCGGCGGTATAGGTTTATACCTGTGTTCGGAAAGTAAGAACCAAAATCTCAAACTAATCATAGCTCTGAGTTTCAGGGCAGAAGAGGAGAGTCAGTTGGCGAGTTTGTGAACCTTCACTGACGACTGAGATAGCTGAAACATGCGTTACATATGCCTAGTCACCATCTGTCTTGTCATACAACTTTTACTGAAGTGGACTCAGGTTGGAAGAAAGCAGTCAGACTAAAACATGAAATCAGTCTATAAATTCTTCTGCGACTGTTGGTCTGGTTCCTATTAAGAGGTGTAGGTTTTCCGGTTGCAATCTGTATGACAACAGAGACCGATGGTGATATCGCTCAGAATTGGTCACAGCGGTGCAGACATGTGCACGTATTGTCTTCATCTTTATGGGTAAAGTGAGTTTCACTACTGTCCTATTTCTCCTTGTTCTCCTTTGATGACTTTCTACCACTTGCGACTGCTTTCTCCTCTATTTAGTTATCTTTCACCTTGATGTGTTGATATAAGGTGTGGCAACTTGGATCGCTACTAAGGAATGCCAGGTTCCATGTCGACATTGACTGACTGGTTTGGGCGCTTGGTTTTCAAGCAGTTGACCTTAACTGAGCCCTTCACTACCCATTTTAGCATGATTTACCGTTCAGTATACATATAATATCATGCATATTACAGCTCATTCATTTTACAGTTACTTTGAACTTGTGAATTATTTAGATAAGTTTCGTATTTTTCCACTGTACGTTTTTATGATGAGTAGTATCAGGACAAACTAAAAATCTGTTTTGTTTTAGTAAAACTTTGGCCGAACACGCTGTGATTGCGAAGGTCAATGGGGAGTTATGGGATCTGTTACGTCCTTTTGAGAAGAATTCTAGTCTTGAAGTTTACAATTTCGACCACAAAGATGGTAGGCTTTTGGAGTAAAATTAATAAAATAACCTGTTTTTCTATCAGTAATGTTTGGTTCACTTTGGTTTAAATTTTGTCCTATCAAGTTAATTGGTGTTCATACATTGTTTGTTGTCATATGTTACTTGCTTCAGTGCAACATCATTTGAGCAGAGCTCATTTTGTAACCAAATCAGTCGTTGAATAAAGTATGCCCACTTTTATGTTTGGTGAGAAACACTATCGGTGATGATCATCCAAATTGGAACAGAGTGAAATGATTTTGGGTCATTGCATGAGGCATTCTAATAACATGGTTGTTTTTTCTTCCTGTATTAGTGGTTTAGGCCCTAGTTGATTTCAATCACCTTTTTGTAGCTTAACTAACAACTTCTGATCAACGCAGTCGGTTTTCAGTAACTGTTGAAACTTAGATTGGAAGCTGTCGGGGATATTAGATCCCTGAAAATTTCTTGAGAATTCCCATCGCACGTAAACTCAAGAGTTGTGCCCCTATTTTAATGCTCTTTCGATTGAGGTGAACTTCAATTCATTGCTGTCTTATTCTTTGTGTTAGCCGAGCTAGTTGTCGACTATAGTATTTTGTTCACCGGTATCCAGACTAAGCGTCCATAATCTGCCATTTCCACAATAGCAATAGAAATTCTTCATGAATACGATGCCCAGTGACATAATTCATGATTTATCCTGTTCAGTTTTGAATCGCTTGATTAAGAAAGTTATGAGAGCTAGTTACGAGTAGAAAAGGGAAATGAGCGACTTCTGTGGATCTTTTCAAGCGTATTTCCAGAAGTGCTTACAGAAGCGTCTGTCGGTCTTGTAGCTGAAGCTGTCAGACATAGCAAAGTGGAACGATAAAGTGACTATTTACAGAACAAAAATGTCGGGGAAGAAATAGCGTTTGCTGCTCACGTTTTTTGGCAACCTCTAGCAACCTATCAACCGAGATGAGACCACTCAATCTCATTAAAAACCTTATGCGAAACATACGGGTCATATTTTTGGAAAATGTAATCATTTTGTAGCACTAATTTATTTCTTTGATTCCTGAAAATTATATTTGTCACCTTTCAAATTTATCTAGAATCACATTATATTTAATTTCGTCCCCTGCCTTATTTCTGAAGGTCAGTATGTGTTTTGGCATTCCTCCGCTCATGTTCTTGGTGAAGCCTTAGAACGTTGTTACGGCGGCCACCTCTGCTATGGACCACCTGTTGAAGAAGGATTTTATTATGATATGTGGGTTCCTAATCAGTAAGTTGCCATTAGACTTTTCTGACGAGGAAAATTAGTTGCTCGCCTGAAATCAGTTTGATTCCACTGTATTTGTTTGTATGGTAGTTTCCATGCATACTAGTTTCATTGCTTCGCAACAGATAGTCGAATTAATTTCAGTTTCCTATCATTCACTTGGTAGTTGTTCTCTTCAATAAAGCTGTGAGGGATCAAGGTAAGTGAAGAGAGCGGAGAAGTCATTTACGCTTGCTCATCTACGTTCCGAACGCTTCCACTGTATGTAAAAGACGAATTCCTAGAGCTTGAGTCATATAATATGCTAAGCGATGAATCATTCAGTCAATATGAAGTAAGATCTGGCATTATTGCATAGCAGACCAAGTTGCCGGAGCTCATATCAGCGCTTAAATGTACAAACCTGGACGATGAAAAGTAGAGAAGTAGGGAAAAATGTGGTCGAAAGTGTTAGAAAGCTACAAGGAGAGACGAAGACTTGGTAAAATAATTAACGAATTGTGATGTGATGGCTAGGATGAAGATAGTGTTTGGATGCATCGTCTCCACTGTGATAGATTCTGAACGATATCACCTACAGTTCCAAACCACCAGTGTCTGTTGTCGTGAAGATTCCAACCGGAATGCCCACATCTTATTATGACTCAAACCAACAGTCAGAAGGGAATTTATAGACTGATTTCATGTTTTGGTCTGACTGCTTTCGTCCAATCCGAGTTCACTTCAGCAAACGTTGTGTAACGAGGCAGATGGTGACTGTAACATACGTTCCAACCATCTAAGTCGTTGATGAAGGTCCACAAGGTCGTCAGCTAACCTACCTGTTTAACCTGAAACTCTAAATCTGACCTCTGCTTTACTAATATGGTGGTTCCATAACACAAGGTCTGAGCTACGAAGACAACAGTGGTTGAACATATGAAGCCTTCTGATATGTTCCATCTTTAAACACCATGTTTCTCAGCAAACACTGGTCGAGCCTTTCGAATCCTTGACGTAGTGCGATAAATATCAATACTAATATAGCATTTTCAAAACGTAGAACTACATACCAATCTAGTGATGAGAGTTGTTTAGTGACAGGTTATTAATCTCAAAGTATCAAGAAGGTGATAATTGATCAGGTAATTAAGACAATTAACTAAAGCATAGATTAATTATAGTAGAAAGCGTGCGCTTTGTACGGCCTATTTAACTAGCTCCACAGGAGCAAGTAAATTTGTAGACACACATCGAGGTAACCCAAAGTGGCAACTTGTCATTAACGCACTCCGGAATGAGTTGTTGACTAGAGAAGCTGATCTACAGTTTTGCAGAAAGCCGCACAAAGCGCACGCTTTCCAAACGTATCTCGGAGCACTATCCTGCATGGTTGTCGAGGGGAGAATATAAATCTATAGTAGAAATATTTTGTGAAATTTTAAACAGGTTCTTACATAATTGATATTTTGTGTAGCTAAAGAGCGAAAATGAATTGTTATGTAAAGTGGTAAGTTGTTGACGGTAATTAGAGACAGTAGGGGGAGAACAGGATGTCTAAAACTGTGATAATAATAGTAACGATAATAATAATAATGATTGTGAAACGAAGGGTCTTGTTGTAATAAATAAGCTATGCAGGTGGCCAAGGCAAAGAAAGAGGCTGTACGAATTTCTTCTGAACACACAGACTTGGCTTGTTTAGGTGGATTCCTATGGCTTCTACTGTATGTAAAAGACGAACTCGTAGAGCATGGGTGGGGTTAAAAGGAATGTAATCAATAACTTTAAAGGCATTATGAATGTTAACTCGGTGGCCAGTGTCAATCAAATGCGAGAGTATTGAGCTTCGTATCGATCTGGTTTGCCATTTACTTACATTGTTTGTTTTACTGAATGTCTAAATGGGGATTTTTGCATTACTGAAATATCTATACGACAAATTTATCGAAAATGCTTCCTTTGCAACGTCATTATGTGCAATATGGAAGCCATTTGCTAACATGAAACGTCATAGTGACACTGCCATTAGTAAGGCACGATAGATGATATTCTCAAACTGCGTGCTTGATATAACTGGCTCCCAATCAGCAGATCAGTTGGTAAACCATTAAAGCAAGCGGAATTGGGTGGTCTGTTTTTATTTAATGAGATCGCTGTTAAGGAGACGAAGAATGAGTAGCGTAAGATAATTGTACTGGATGAGCTTTTCAAGGTGTTTCTCATACACTGTCACGAGTTTAGACATAGTTTGGTCTCCGAAGATAACGTTTCTGTAACAATGGATCGTTATAAGCTATTGGTAAATTTGTTTTGGAAGTTATACGCCTTATTAGGAACGTCAGCAGATGTACGTTTCTAATGAACGAAACAGAGATACTAGGGATTCGGGTATCTCACCAGTGCCATAGATTACTTAGTATGTCGAAAACTAGTCAATCCGTATGTATCTACGTTGTAATTTTGTCGATCTACCAAAGTTTTGGCTTCTCAAGTAGATGAAGTGTTCTGTACACTTAACCACTTAACTCCCTACCGCCAAACGAGGTATCAATGCAGACCAGTCCTGGCGCAACAGTTTTCATTTGGGTGGTATGAAACGCATCCCAAGCTCTCAGTTCGTCACTGAAGGTGTCTGGAAGACTGCATCCTCTATGCTTCTTCACCTATGAAGGTTAAGTTAACTACGGACTCTAGGCATGCTTAGGAGTCTCCTGTGACGTGGGCAGTCCCTATGAAGTCAGATGATGAAAGGACATCCATAAACACGTTTATGACAAAGGTAACTTAGTATAGAGTGTGGACATACTTTATGGGCTGTACTTGACGTATGCAACACACCTAGTGCGTCACTGTAGGTTCTAACGCACCCATAAGTGCTGGGACACAGTTAATCATAGTGATTTGAAGCTGGATTATAAATATCGGCTGATGTCATCTTGATGAGGTTAACTAGTGGTGTTTAGGAAAAACATCATTGGCCGTAAATTTGCACACTAGTTTATTTCTTTTTAATAATAGTCTCTGGTATAACGAAATGCATTGTAGACTTTTTGGGTATTCGATCTTCTAGCTTGTGATTTCTCATCTTCATTTGGACAAAATTAATTGACCAATATTGGTATATGAGCTCCTCTGCTGATGCCTCGTTATTCCCGGTGGTTTCAGTTAGATTCTAATGATGGGTATTGACTGGCAATGGAATCCAAAAGGTACGTTTCCTCCTACTCAAGACTCATCAGCTGGTTGTACTTGCCTCTTAGTAAGTGATACTGTTCCCATTGAGATTCGGACCCAGAACGCTCTAGGATTTCAAGCAGTTTCCTGGGTTCGAATCTTAGTGAGGATGCCATCACTCACAGGGATGCAAGTGCACCCAGCTGATGAGTCCCAAATAGAACGAAACGCATATCTTGATTTTTTAGACATTCCTTTTGAAAGGAGACATTATAAGGTTTAGTTGGGTTATTAGTTAATGGTGATTTTATTCTAATTTAGATTTCCTACACAACATATATTTTATCAATGTCAGAGAAGGTAATTGCTAGTAGCACAGGTGATTATCATTAGAGTATTTATTACTTATTTTGAAATTGAACTCAATACCACATGGGTATCAAATGACTCATCGAAATTGATAGAGTAGAGTTCCTAACTCTTATGTATGTGGTTTGCAAATTTTATAATTTTAGTCTTAAGAAGTCGGAACCTCAGAGACAATGATCCATGTTAAGCGTAACAACTATAGAACCTGCTGTGTTTGCTCGTAATTTTCAACTTTTTAAAGTTTACCGTAGGATAACTGTATTTGTTCTTTTGTGTTTCTAATTTTAGACAACAATCTGGTCTACGACCAGAGGATCTTGCTGTTGTGGAGAATTTATGTCACAATATTTGTAAAGAAAACCAGCCTTTCGAAAGATTAGAAATGAGAAAAGAAGACCTGTTGAGCATGTTCGCTTATAACGAATTCAAATGTCGTATAATTCGAGACAAGGTGGATACACCAACTACTACAGTTTATCGATGTGGCCCTCTCATAGATCTGTGCCGTGGACCACACGTTAGACATACTGGTATGTCGCCTTTTGTTTCCTAGGGTAATCATGTACAGGTGTTATTATGCCTGTAGGACGGAAATTTGATATGTACGCTTTTCGCATGTAACACAACAGACTAAGCGTTTAAATAAAGTGAATTTTCATCGCAATTGTGGTTGTATCACACGCTATATGCGTACTTCCGATTGCAGTTCGCAAAACTAATGAGATTGAGTATTGAAGACTAGGTGACATGGCTTAAAATTCATCTGACTGGTTTAGATTTATCCTCACCTTCGTTATAACCATTATATCGACCTTAATTATTTTCTCTACCCTGCCTTCTGCTACGTCTTTCTAGTAATCATGATTATATAATTTCCGCTTATTTATCTTTCGTCTTGCCCTGAAAATTAGATGTCGAGGTGTAGCAATTCAAATGTTAGGTAGTATAGCCGAGTCCCATGTTGTTACTAACTGGCTGATTACTTTGTAGCTCATTATGCTGTGGAAGGTTTGTTCTTGAGATGTCTGCTGAAAAACGTGGATAAGGATAGTTTTATCGATGTAGTTATGTGATTGGGAATCCCTAGTGACTTCTGAATATTTTGGATTCAGAAATGTGTTTCATGTCGACACTTGAAGAAAAGAGTGTACCATCAGGGGGAGAGGTGCACTTTTCTTAGAACCGATCTTTTTCCATACGTCCTTCTAACAAAAGAAAAGCAACATCAAGCTAAAATACCGTTCATTCTCGGTAAACACTATATTGTTGTCACTCTTTGTATAGTGAGCAGTATGACTTCGCCCTCAGACCATCATGGCGTAAGTTACTCAATAATGACTGTCCAGTTGACTTTTCTCGCACAGTTGGACCTCCAAGAAAGATGCCGTAAGCCAGCGTACCTCGTTGGATCATTTCCAAATGCAAGCTTAGCCACCAAATCAAAGTAAAATCTATCGGTTGGGATATTGTGACATTCCGAAAGAAACTGAATCAGATGATTGATTATCTTGTACCTTTATTTCTGTCTTTGCAGACCACTTTAAAGGTTGGATGCTAGTTGTGCTAACGGAATAACTGTCTACTTCATACATTAAGCTCACTATGTCGTCTTTGTAATTTTTTTTAATGATTCTATGCACACACTTTAAGGTTGAACGCTGTGTGAAAATGTAATTGTGTAAACTCTAAGCATTTACATTTTATAACTTCACTTTGTTGATGAAGGCTGTTCTATGTTCCTAAATTGATTGTTCACAATTAGTATATTGACGTTGTTAGAAATAAAAGGATGCCAACTTTCCCACTTTGTTTATGCTTTTCTTTGAGAATGCTTCGTAAGTAACATTCGTGTATGGAGATATCCTTATTAACTAATGAATCCGTAGAACTGATTTCGACCATACAACTGAATAATAATGAGGCAGTTAAATTGATGTATTGTTTGTCCGCATTGTTGGGTGTTTGAAGAATGCAGATACGCTCAAAATCTACCTTAAGCTGTAGAAGCGTTACAATTTTTAAATTTTTATCCTGCGGAAGTAATAATTCAACTAACTTAGGTCTGTATTTCACCTTTATTCTTAATTTGCTATTCAGTTAACTTTTGTTTCTTTTCTCCAAAGTACGTCTATGCTAACCTTTCGTTTTTCAAAATATCTATCTTTTTAGGTTGTATAAAGGCTCTGTCAGTTACCAAAAGTAGTTGTTCATATTGGGAAGGTAAAGTGGATGCTGAAACTCTCCAGCGTGTATATGGCATTTCCTTTCCAGACCCGAAGCGTTTAAAAGAATGGAAACATATGCAGGTGAGATATAATTAGAGTCTAGTTGTCGATTAGCGGAGATTTAATTATGAAAACTTGATTAGTTAGTGAATTCAATCTCTCTACTTATTTAAAAAGTTGCATTAACCCTGATGATGATAAAGAAGGCTTGTTTGCCATTTGAAAATTCATATCATCTTTACATCAGTGAGACGTATACCACATATTAAATAAAGGACAAGTTTACTGAATAGCAGTCCTATTTTCCTATTCTGTAACTAAGATGGTTGTTGAAGATATGACGAGACTACAGATTTCTGACCATAAATATCTCCTAAGCATTTCTTGCATTGGGTTAATAACTGTATAAGGAGTGAAAATTTTAAATGTACAGTATAAGAAAGTCAATTTAATTGATGAGATTATCAACCTTTACTGACTATAAGTGGATCAGGTATGAGTTGTTCACCATTTCTGTCAATGTGAAATGTTGGCTCAATTGGTGTTATATTGAAAGAGAGCTAGAGGTAACTTAATAAGAATACAAGACTGATTCGTTAAGTTTGTGATGGTTAATCTAAGTCATTCCGATAGATGATGGTTGTTTATATAGGTTCCTTCAGATGTTGTTAGATTCTAATTCAAAATTCTTGATTTCATGGCCTAGATTTTCATTTTCAAAATTTCAAACTTATGCAATTTAAATTTTCATTCACAGTTTCTCACTTTTCTCTCATATCCGTTTTTCTTTCTTTTAATAACATCTTTTTCCGTTTACTTCCTAATTGTGTGTTGTAAAGTATGGCAACTTAAAGTGATGCATTTCTATGCATAGTTTTCGCCATTAATTTATTTATCTCATTGACCGTTTATCACAGTGCTGACAATTCGATAATTCATTCTGATATCTGGTTGGATAGTTATGTTCGTATCATTATGCTAAATTGGATGGATACATTTATTGCTGATTTACAGTTTTATGAAATTCCAGTTTGGAACTAATTTCTCCAGTTCATGTGATTCAGGTATCAGGCGAAAACTTCAAAAGCAAGAAAAACTGTAGAAGAAGAAAAGATAGATGAGGAAAATAATTCGAGGTTGTCAGACGAGTTATATAATGAAATATCTCAGCTTAAAAGTACAAGTTTAAACAGTTTTATTCCAATACAGTGAATGTTGGAATAATCTTTGCCATGTTAAATTGTATCTTGAGTAGCTTTTCTTGTATAGCTTTCAGTAGAAGGTGGCTAACTGTCAAGTAATAAGTTACTAAAGACTGGCTATCAATTTCCTGGCCTTTAGAAGAATTAATTTGTCCACTTTTGCATTGTACGTACTTGTAAATTTTGTCTACCGTTACTAGGTCATATATTGTTTGTCAAAGAACGTGTTTGTTAGTTAGGGTTATTCATTTGCGCTTTATTGATCCCTTTCTTCATGTAGGAAGAAGCAGCTAAACGCGACCACCGTAAACTTGGAATTGAACAGAAATTGTTTTTCTTTCATGAACTCTCGCCTGGTAGTTGTTTTTTCTTGCCTGCTGGTGCACATATCTACAACACATTGGTTTCATTCATTCGTTCTGAGTATTGGAAACGTGGATTCCAAGAGGTGATCACTCCAAATATTTACAATTCTGCATTATGGGAACAAAGTGGACATTGGCAACATTATAGTGTAAGTTCTTGTTGTCTTTATGCTAAAATGAGAAAAATTGCTTAAAGTTCATTTTCCCTTGTATTTATAGAATTTTTGATTTACTTCCAAATGTAGGAAAATTTATTTAAAATTGACATTGAGAAACAAACATTTGGTTTAAAACCTATGAATTGTCCTGGCCACTGTTTGATGTACGCGAAAGAGATTCGTTCGCACAGAGAGTTACCTTTACGATTTGCTGATTTCGGTGTGTTACATAGGAATGAATTCTCTGGTGCGTTATCTGGACTTACTCGAGTTCGTCGTTTCCAGCAGGATGATGCACATATTTTCTGTCGTGAGGATCAGGTATGTTATTGGTAAAGTTGTTTGATATGTGAGTATGACCTGCCGATTATTTGATATTGACAAGTTGGTTGCTAAGATAACTTTCAGTTTCACCGTCAGGCAATTACAAGTCAGTAGATTAAGTACTTAACCATTTCAGTTAGCTTGAGTATTGAAATAGCCGTAGTGCGCCGTTGATGATCAACTGAATTCACAGTACAGTTGCAAATCTGAATGACGTTTACTACTTACGGCATATACATACCCGACCCTATGGCTATGGAGTATGATAACCGAAGGTGAGAAACTTCTGACTGTTTGACTTCTATTGCCTTCGTAGCACCGGTAGTGTGTTGTCGGATCACCATGTAAAGCTGCGCATACAGTTCCAAGTAAAAGGGAGGGGGGTAAGTTAGTTGGTGAGGCAATTAATCCACGCAGATTGAAGTCGCTGAGAAATGTAATACGCATGGCAGGTCACATTTTACCTCGATGCATTATGTCGGCTGAAATAAGATCAATGTAGGATTAAAAATTGGATGCTGCTGTAGAATGTAATTTCACTTCAGCTTCTTTGTTAGATGCATCACACAATGAAACAGTTTGTATACTGAAATAATGTTCAGAAAAGGTACGGATGATCAGAGTGAAATATGATATTAGCCCACGAAGTCTTTAGGTGTTTCTCTCGTGTTGGGAATTGTTGGCTCAGTAACTAGGTCCCGCGCGACAACAGCGATTGGCAATCGGAGACGCTATGTGATATAACTCGTAGCTAACTACATAGGGTGGATATACTCACAGCTAATTAATATTGTCGTTAAGATGTTATCGAACTCTACGTTTACATGCAAAATAGCAAGTAGAAAAAGACACACCTCGAGTGGCTATATAGCTTAAGTATTGACAGTTGTTTACAGGTTAGTTGAGCAACTGTCTAGCTGAATTATGTGACCAACATCTTTATAGAAGAACAAGTGTTTCAAATGTTTTTGCATAAAAAGCTCAGTTCTAACGAACTTCATTATAGTAGCTACATTTTGAAGGGAGCGAATTCTTATTGTTTGTAGCTTTTGAATCTTATGGGTTACTAAAAAGGCAGACCAGCGTCAACGTGGTGCAAATAAATGGAACCTGTAATCTACTTCACTTTCCATTTTGCTAGCTATACGGAGAGGTGTTCTTTGGCACGTTTTGACTAGGTTCTCTTGATGCTTCCTAAGTAGCAGTTTAATTTGTAATTGCATATTGAAAATGGACACGTGCGAAATCCTATCTTACAGATGTGGTGGTAAGACTGATCTGTTGCCTCATTTTTTACCGAAATTATTTAGTTAATTACAATACAGTTTGATACACCTCAAGCTTTCTGCTTGAATTCGTCGTGCAAAGGTGCTCTACCTTGTTAGTGAATCTCATGCGATAATCTGATCGGCGATTTACATTAAACTCGATAAAATTGAGACACAAAATTAATTTTGATAGAACCGAGGTTGTACTGGTGAGGCCGTACATATTGAAGCTGGAAATGTAGTTATGTGATGACATCAACCATAATTCATAGCTAACAACCTTAGACCATCTGCAAAGTCATAATCTCAGTTTCTAGCACGCTTTTCAGGTTTTGTAGAATACCTCCAGGTAGTAGAGATCGTTATATTTTTCGTTTCAATTTATTTTACATAAAATAAACCAGTCGAACTGGAGAGGCAAATAAAAAAGTTCACTCAGGGAAGTTTCGATTTCTTACAGGCGATAGTTAGCGTTGTATTTTCGTTAATGGATGGCAAGCCGTTTTGAAATTTTATGGATTTTACTTTCGTCAAAGCGAGGGAATGTATATATATTTTTTTGATATACTCCAACCGAACTCTTCATGTATTGCATTCTTTTTATTTCTTGAAGATTAAAGATGAGATCAAAAGCTGTTTAGATTTCTTGAGTCATGTTTATGGAGTATTTGGTTTCTCATTTGATTTATACTTATCTACCCGTCCGGAGAAGTTCATGGGTGAAATTGAAATGTGGAATCGTGCTGAAAAGGTATTTTATTAACTTTGTATAGTGTTTTTTTCGTATTCTGTTTAAGATCACTTAATGTTATCTTTCACAACGTCGTTATGAAAATGATTGAATCATAATTCTGATCATCTAGTGAATTCTTTTAGGCATCAATTAATATTTGACTAGTTAGTCATTCAACGATATTTTAAACGATAATTGGTTTCCATTCTTAGTGGATTCCCATCATGTCGTTGTAAATTGACACCGTTAACAGCTTCTCTGAATATGTCTCCTAAAATTTTATGCATCTCGTTTATTAGTAGGAACAAAGTGTTGCAATTAAGTTCACAGATTCATACCGAGTTTCACCAATCGTTTATCGTTAAAGTTGTTCTTGTTTTTAAACCTTTCTATGCCTCTGTGTATAATACAACATTAGTAAGATTTGGGACAACATACTATGAAGTAATTTCGGTGAAAATAACAATATAACAATACAGTTAATCACTATTGCTTTTCATATTAGACCATTTTTATCAATAATCTGTAAATTTAGGTAATAAATTCATCTTTACTTTGTGTATCGTTATTATTTTCCATGGTATGATGAAGTTGGCATAGTTTCCAAGAAAATAGTCTCAATTGTATAATCATTTTTTAGTTGTCAATTGACAGCACATCAAAATATCATTTCTGCTAATTTTCTTCATCTATTTCACAGCAACTTAAAGAAAGTATGGATGAGGTTGGTATGAAGTGGGAGCTTAATCCTGGTGATGGAGCCTTTTATGGGCCTAAAATAGATATAACTATTATGGACGCTTTGCGTCGTCGTCATCAGTGTGCTACAATTCAGTTAGATTTTCAAATGCCAGTCAGATTCAATCTCTCTTATGCATGGTATGATTTTAATTCTATCATTTATCTAGTCATTAATAAGAAGTTCTGTTCACTTTTCTAGAACTTTGACTTTCGATAGATATTATAATAATATAGGTGATAAGATCGAGACCAGAAATCATTGTTTACTTTTTATTTACTTAGTGAAAATACAAAATTGGTACATCATAAATACTGAAAGATTGTACTTCACAAAATAATAACGCAGCAGTTAGGAGAAACAAAAAAAGTGGTAGAAAGAATCGAAAGCAAACGGAAGTCGGCGTTTAAAGAAGCTGTCTCATAGGTGCATTTTTACTGTTCAACTGGTGCAGCATGATAACTACTGGTTTCGAACCTAACTCGTTGTTCTGTCGCCAGAATTGACTGAGTTTTATGATCTATTGAACCCCATCCAAGGATTCGTAGGGAACCTACAGATGTTGCACCAAAGGGAAACAGCACCACATCATACCACTGAGTCTCCCAATTTTTCCGACCGGTTCCAAAGCAGGCGAACAGTGAGCGGCATTGAAGTCGCTGAAACTACATTCGTAACACGTGGAAGTCACCGAAGATGGTGTCTCCAGCTGAAACTTGAGTAATGTGTGTTGGCACACAGTAAGACGACATCAACTGCGTACTCAGGGTAACAGATTTACATCCTTACCACGAACTTTCGGAGTTTGCTTGAGAATGTCAATGTCGATGGTAAAATTGAGGAGGAATGTTAGAATGAGGCAGGCCTACATAGCCGCACTTTTAGTTTGGAACAATGAGGAGTGGTTGTGTGGTCTCTTCCTTATTGGTGTTTTTGTATTTGACTGTCACAATGTTGAGAAATTCGTCAGTGGCACGACTGTACCAGGTAATTCTAGAATACAGCCCTTTCTGATAAACGGGAGGGATTCTTAATCCTGGGAAATACGACGAATGTTGGTCTGTAGTGTGTGGGTGTCCAGGCATTTTTGATGAAGAGCGAACACGTGATCAGTGGGTGTAAGACATAAACGAAGCTTGACGTGCACGTTGACGACTGGTTTTCCACGCCTTTTTGCAGGACGTGTGAAGTTTCATGGTAGGCAGTATTTTAGACGGTACTGGTATCAACGTCATACTCTGATGATTGTCATATAGGACTCATAGCATTTTTTGAATGATGAGTAATACGACGGCTTCATTTGAGAGTTATGGGACACTCAGTTTGCCATAATCTTTCAAACAATGCCTTACCCTCTATAATCCTAGGTCCTAGGTAGAATACAATTAGTGTCACCGTTTTTGTTTTTCATAGATTAAAGTATATAGTTTGTTGGTGCAGTATAGCAGACAGCGGTTCCGTTGGGTTTCATTTATATGATTGACTTAGTTTGTTTGTTGCTTTATTTTTCATTGACTTAAAAATATTATATGAAGTTGGAGGTGAAGTTTATTGATGTGGGACATCTTTTCACTTTGTCTTCTTAGTATGAGTTGTCTTCTGAATGTAGCGTAATATGGGGAACTGACATTCAGATGATCTCATATACAGTGTCAGAAGGGCAAGGTTGACGGTGTAGTAATGATGTCTGCACACAGTGCCTTATTTCATTCGGTATATATATATATATATATATATATATATATATATATATATATATATATATATATATATGTCAATAAATTAGAAAGTTTTTCAGGGAGTTTTACTACAGAGTTGTAGTTATGAAGTATGAATGTTCGTTCCTAAAGGTGACGTTTTTAACCGTTTCTCTGTCATATTTTGAATTTTTTTAATCTGACTGGATGAATTTCTTAGTTGAACATGAGAGATACTGATTTTTATACTTGCTTCAAGTTATTTACTTAGTTTCTGTATGCATGTTAACTTTTCCCAGCGAAAGTGATAATCCAACTGCAGGCGATAATGCTTCTAATCCAGTCAATGGTGTATCCAACAATGAAACATCCGATCACCAAACCGAATCGAATCTTCATCGACCTGTCATTATTCATCGAGCTATTTTGGGTTCAGTTGAAAGAATTATAGCAATCCTCACAGAATCCTATGCAGGTGGGTGATTGCTTCCTTCTTTATGTGTATCGTCCGTTGCTCTTTGAACCCTCAGTTTAAGTCTGAGAGTTATCGTGTATTGAGCGATGCTTCACCACATATAAGCTGATTAGTTTCTAAGTAAAATACTAAGCCTGGTGATATCACTGTCTTTTGAATTTTTACACAAAGATTATCATAGAGATATAGCCTAAGTATCCAACTGTCAAGCAGTGTACTCTGAGCTTGAATCCAACTCTGCTTGACACAAGTATGTTCTGTAAGATTGTAAGCGTTTGGCGGGTTTAATTGCATAAAGTTTAAATCATATCCTGAGTTCACAATTTTTTCATGTCACCGACTCCATTTTCTTATGTGTTATGTAACTGTTGGTGCTTGCGTGTTTACGTATACAAGCTTTTGGATCATAGAAATTTGATAGGTGTATCGAGATGCTTAAATAGTTTGTTGTCTATTTTCTCTACGTTTTTATTATTTTGGAGATTACTGAATTTTTTGAACAGTGAAAATTGTGTAGGTGTTATCTGACCTGCATATGATTTTTATCTTGGTAGTCGCGTGATACTTACATTGTACGAGGTTATCGGCTGCGTATTCACGGTTATATCGATTAAGTTAACCTTTGAACAGTAAAAATTGTCAAAATCAATAAAAGACATTTCAGCGAAGGAAAATTTTTTTTGACGAATCATTTTCAAAAGGTGTACATCGTAATCATGGTTACAACAAAATATGTTTATTCATCAATGGCAAATGGGTCGGTACGAGGTCATCAAAAATGGTGAATAAGGTCACAAGGTGATAATAGCTAGAAGGTCAGATCAGGGTCATCAAAAATTGCTTATAGGATTATAAGAACAAGGCATGCCCAAGAATCAAGGTATTGATGGCTTTAAGGTTCAGCCGAATAGAAGGTCTTCTTCAGTACTTTGCATAATCGATTATTAAGTATCTCTGCCAATGTATCTTCCTTGAATCCAGTATTCATAAAGTGTCGTTTGGAACCGTAGGGGCTTCCTTGAAATTCTTAGACCGAATGAATTTTGAAGGATAATCATTCTCGTTTAACACTCTTCGAAGTATTTCCACCTCCTCATTTACTGCATCACCCGTACAAATTCTTCTAGTTCGTGTGTATAATGAATGAATTCGATTTCTTTTACTGACTAATGGAACCCAACTTTGAAAATGAGTATATTGACCATTCCGGGTTTGTTTTCTGTAAATCGACCTCCTTAGAGAACCATCATATCTTCTTCTCAATAGAACATCCAGGCAGTAGAGTTATGGGTTATTTCCAATTTCCATGAAAAATTTAATTAACTTGTGATATTCATTGAACTTTCGTGGTATAATATCAGCTTACCACACACGTTGACATTTCTTATGCAGTTGTTGAAGTCAGAGTTAGGTATTGTAATTACTGATCCGATTCTTCACTGTCTGAAGGATTTCAGTTAATTATTTAGCAATCCCAAGATATGGTGACATTGTTCATGTCAACAATTGAACGAAGAGAAACATCTTTCTTATGAACTTCGGGAAGACCGTAGAGTTGAGGAATTACTGAACCAGTTGGTTTTAGTCTTTCAAACAGCTCTTCACTGATGATCGACTGATCTTTCATTTTCTTCAAAATGTTTGTCAGTAGTTTTGTTTGCTCCGTTGCATCTTTCTGAAACTCTTTTTTCGAGAATTTACTTTCATCTGGTGGTATAGATGACAGTTTATCAACAAAGTCTTTGTGGATTCATGAGAACTATGCCCGAGTTGTTGTCAGGACAAACCAGCAACAGTTCCTTGTTCTTCAAAAGTTCATTTAGGTGGAATCTGTGCTCTTTGAACAATATTCTCCTAGTATATGGTTTTGCATTCATATAATAAAGACAGCAGTTCAAAATCGTTGATGTAAATTGCTTGAGACTTATTGGAGGTTGGAATCAGATCGTTTGTCTAGTTCATTAAACTTACAAACCGAACTTTAGAGTCAAACTTATTTAGAGAAGTAGGAATGTCAAAAAAATTAGGGGCCTAACGAAAATACTTGCGATTAGATTGCCGATTAAGTTATATTCGTAAAGCCCAACAAATGGTTTTCAGGATTTTCAGGAAAACGGTGTTGGAAATCTGTTACTTTAAGACTCTTCATAGGCTTTAGGTTTCCATCTTCTGAGCATCTTTTTAAAATTATATTTGTGTAGTCTCTGAGATTTTATTGTCCATCGTCTGACATTTCATAAAAGGCACGGTCTCTTAATGAGATATTAGGCTCACTTTCGGGCAATCCAGAATTTGTCTCATGGATGTGATTGTGTAAGTGTTATCTTACCTGTATATGATTTTATCTTGGTAGCTGCGTACTATTTACATTGTACGAGGTTATCAGCTGCGTGTTCCCGATCATACCTATTAAGTGTTAGTGTATTCATTCGCGTATCATTTTTAAAATATTTTTTCTCACTTTAGGGAAATGGCCATTTTGGCTTAGCCCCCGGCAAGTTCTCGTAGTTCCTGTTGTTTCAGCGTGTGATGAATATGCAATCGAAGTTAAAAATCGTCTACATGACGCTGGTTTTATGACTTCAGTAGACACAGATCCTGGTCGTACGTTGAACAAAAAGATCAGAAATGGACAGTTACTCCAGAATAACTTTATACTAGGTGAGTTGGAGCTATAAGTTGAATGCTTTCCAGGTTGTGTTAACTGCCTATATCGTTTTTTCTTGGAAGACAGTGTCTAGTATGTAAGAAACAGTTTGCATGCTAAAGTACATATACTGGTAATAATGAGAACTATTATCGTAAAAATGGTGTACTTAGCTTTGTAAGTGTGTAATGAGGGGTGATTCACAGGATAATGTTGTAAAGTATAACAATGAAGGTCACTCAAAGCCCTCAACACTTCCATCGTATCTTCGTAAGGTTCTGTGAATACACTGCATAGAGAGATGAAGTATCACATTGTTCGTCTAGTTTATCCTAGTTATCGCACCCTCAACGTTTGATATGTTGAGTGGCCTAGGGAAACTAAGGAAAACCCTCAGGTCTTAGCTCTCCTGGCACAACTCTCGGATAAGCGAATACTTCAGAACCCACTTTTCTCCGCATCAGAGACAGACATTTATGGAATGTGTCTGATTTTGTGCGGAATTTAATTCGACATATTAATTGCCTGCTGGTAAGAGATGAAAGTTTTACTATCTTGTCATCTGTGCCATCTGAATTCTATCATTTATGACTGTATATTTCTTAATGTGTTTAACTCATTGTCACTTGTTATAAACACTATGTAACGTAGTGGCTCTTTCGTGTTTACCTCTTATGGTCACTACCGGTTTTTACTTTTTATCCTAGTGGTTGGGGAAAAAGAAATCGTCAATGGAACTGTAAATGTACGTACACGAGATAACAAAGTCCATGGTGAACATCCCGTTGAACATGTTATTGAGCGATTCCGTCAGTTGGCTGCATCCAAAACACTTGAGGCAGAGCAAGAATTTTAATTATGAACAAAATTTTATACTACTGTAGTTCTGCATACTTTTTTGTCAAGTTTGCATAGAACAAAGTGGAATGGATTATTTTATAATTTCCTGTTCCGTTGTTTTAAAGGCTGAAGTGGGGGCATATTGACTTTCATTGCAAATTACTTTTTATCATATTCACATCAGTTGTGATGGTGATCGTGGTTAAATTCTGCAGTTGTGCAGCCAGCCACTCAACTAACTTTGGGATACATTTTTAATGCGTACGATTAAATTGTCGGTTCTATTAAAATTGTGGTGAAAATGTATGCCTGTAAACTAAAAGGATTGTGCACTTCTAATTTTCCGTTGCCATACTGTGTCGAATCGCTTGACATCTTATGCAGGTGGCTGGATACTGTATGGATATTCATTTTATTGTAGTCTGTTAGGTGGCTAGCGGCGGGATCCGGATGCGAGTTGTGTTTGGGACGCGTCAGCTGTATGTACCTGCGCTCCAGTAAGTGGTGGTGGTGTCCCCACTGAGAAACGAATTGAGTAGATATCACTTCAAATAGCAAAGCGTTATTCACTGATGCTCGATGGTCACCTCTTGTTCAACAGGTATCTGTCAACAGAGGTTGAGCAGTTCGATAAAGCATAGTAGCGGGAAACTGTAAGTATCAATAAATAACAACTGATACCCGTTTCACAAAGAGTGGCCCTCGTGCCTCAGTGGTCTAGTGTATAGCGCTTTGGGGTTTGAAGCAATTTGTATTGGGTTTGAGTTTCAGTGGGAATATCATCACTCACTGGGGTGAAGGTAAATCCGTCTAACAAGTCTCAAATGGAACGAAACGTGCATCCGTGATTCCAATACTGACCTCCATGAAAACTACAACATAGTAAAAGCAGTGTACCCTCATTCGAATTTTTGTATGTGTTCCTTGCAAATCTTATCATGAGACATCTTTTAGATTCAACTTTTCAATAAACTGAGTAGAATCCTTTAAGTTAGTGAAGTTTAGTATCAAGAGTCCATGTTAGGTTCAAAAGTCGCACTTTGCCATCATTGTTGTTTATACGCTATACGTCTTTTGTTTTATTTCTGATGCTTGAATACTTTACTGTTTTCTTTGGTTAACCCAAAAGTAGACAGCCTGAAGTTCGATCGTGAGTGTTTTCTGCAAACAGTCTGAACTTTCATTATTATCTATTCTCATTCATCCAGTCCTTCATAACTCTCTGATCTAGAAGTTAGGAGATAGCGTTCACGATTGAGTTTTAAGTTCGACATTTAGTGCTTCATTTGGGTATCTTCACGATGCCTTTAGTGTATGATGTCGGTTTCAAACAGTTAGTTGCTTCTATGAGCTCTGGTAGGGTAATCAGAACACTTAACTAGTCTGAAAAATATAAGGTGTCTGTACTATACGCTTGGAACAATCTGATTACACATTTGTTTATTAATGCGCTTTGTATACAAAATGAAAATAGATAACTAAATCAGACAAATATGGTAATAGGAAAGTTATTAGAAAGGGGTAAATAAGCGAGGAAGCCAACCTTGGTAATTATATGAGCTAAGTATTACCAAAGTAAGTTTAGGTGAGGGAGAATTTATGAATGCAAGGGAAGCGCAGATTGGTAATTGATGCTTCAGCTCCTTTCAAGTATTTTCTTCCAACAGTTCCTTCAAAGAGTTGTAAACGATGTCTGTATGTGATACCTAACTTTTTTTTTCTTGACTCACTGGACGGTGGAAAATCGACCAAATATGTCGAGGTAGAATTACAGGTTTTTCTTCGTTCTGCCAAGTATAATCGACCAGGTGTATGCTGAAAAGTGCGTTTACTGAAGAAACACCGAGGATGAGGAATAAAACTAAGAGATCCAAGAGTTTCTCACTCAAGTATCCATAATTATTTTATTTTGAAGGATATAAGTTGTTCTATACTTTTCTTATTTCTTGATTTTGTCATGAAGATTGGCTACAAAAGTCAGAGATGATCGAATTTTTAGCATGACCTATACAATTGATACTTAGTTTTGAGCGTGAGGTTGTAATCAGCAGTAAACTCACTTCCCGCTACTTTCAGAAATATGTTGAATGATATACTGCTGTACTAATTTAGGGCCTTTTGACAGTAGAAATAATCATTCTTCATTTGTATGGAATCCCACAAACGAATCTGTTCCAGTTCATGTGACTCCGAAAATGTAGATTTTTAACGATGTTTAAGTAGATCTAGTTCCGTAGCTAAGCTCTCTAGCATATCAAAAGTGCAGGAGTATTATTGAAGTTAACTTTGAATCTAACAATAGTTTATGTTTATCGATAAAAGATAAAATGAGCGAAGAAATATTGCTTTTCAATTAGGTCTTCATCATTAGTTTACTCTAATGCGTAGGTTTTACAATTAAAAAAAGGAATAATGTTTCAGTGGGGGATTCATGAAGTTAACAATTCAAGAAGTGAAGATGAAAATTGATGTGTAAAGTGATAACACAAGATTGTTAAATGTGTAGAATAATTTAAAGTCAACAGGTTATTTGATTGATTACACAAAAACTGGGATGCAAAGCAGAGGATCTGGAAAAGTAGTCAAGTGCTAGGAAGAACTAGAAAACTGGAGACCATCACCTATGAACAATTTCAGTCTCTTAAGTAAGATGTTGATTTGCCTTACTCTAGTAACCAAAGTGATGACAAGTTCAAATTCCCGGTAAATACAAATATTTCTTTAGATTGTTGGGTGTAATCAACAGTGTTTTAAACTTCAATTCCATGTTTTTAGCAGTTATGTACAGGGTTTATCCGTAATCTGTAGGCTACTGATGTTCCCTACCAAATCTGAAGCCACATCATTTATTTTCATCATCAGCGGTGTTGTCACTGAGCTAGGGTGCATTAACAAGTGCGAAACTTGAATTTGCGGTTTTTAGTCGATTTCCATCAACCAACTAATGCTTCCGAAAGCAAGTTTACCAATAGCTTGTAATATTTTGTCGTAGAAACCTTACGTTGATGGGTGAAACTATGTGTAACTTTGTGACACAGTATATGAGTAATACCAGTACAATTATCTTCTGCTTCTTATTCTTCGCATCCTTAGCAATGATCTGATCAAATTAAAATAGACCGCCTGATTCTTCTTTTTTCAACCTCTTACCAGCTGACTTACTGCTTTAAAGCATGTTATAACAAGAATACGATTAAGGTCGTCTTCGAACCTCACCTATCATGCCACACCGAAGGACAGATAATGTCACCCTGAAGTTTCATGTTAGCTCATCTTCCATTCTGTGGTTGGCTGACAAAATAAACATAGAACCTCGCACACAGGCACATCGACTCAAGGTGGCACAGTTCACGGTGGTATACAGAGTACTGATGGACAGAAAAGTAGTGATATCGAAGTAGTGTGAGAAGATAAACAGTTTGAAGATAACGGTTAGTGCGAATATCCAAGCTTTAGAAAATGTCAAGTAAGTACGTCTGGCCCATTTTGACCGATTTCTAGTCAAGCGTCCTCAACTACAGATTCCATTCGTCTCGGCTCACACCAACAGTCAAAGACTTCATGTACTAGTGCCACGTGCTGGTGGGGCCACTTCCATACTGTACACAATATCGTTGCAGTTGATGCTTCTTAGATTATGTTTTCGTATTACGATATGGATACAGAGGGATCTAGCGGTGTTCGCCATGGTGATGTGGGCGACTGACTACGAAAAATTGAGTGTGGTAAGGGGCAGTTCACTCTGGTTTGTGAAACATGGTCATTAGAAGTGTAGGCTATCAGGTAGCTTCCTGCGTCCGGTCATTGTTGCTTTCGTATTTTTGGCTTTGTGTAATGGAACCACGACATCAATAACGTGGAGTCTCAAGTAAAACAATCGCTACCATTCTACTTTAATTTTACCAATTTTATTACTTTCTAGGTTATTAAGCGACCACCTTGTTATTCTTTAAATAATGTACTGATATATTCTGACGCAGGTTTTTCACTCGTGTCTTGATCTGTTCGCTCACATACTATAGTGAATTTGACTGCATCGGGTCTTGTTAACACCTTGCGACTCATCTTTTAATTGCACCTAAAAAGTTAGGGGAAACTCCTACAGGGGTTTACGCTTCTGCCAGTTACATATCTCTGAAGCACTGTCTGCAGACGTATAAAGGTCCGAAATCAGTGTTCAAGACTATTTGTCTCAAATCATTTTCTCCATCCTGGCCTAGTTATTACTATTTTTACTTCAAGGAATGATTGTATTATTATTTTAAGTTTTTCACTGACAGGACTTGACTTTTATTTTAATTTGTTAAATGGTTTTTCCGTAGGGATGGTGCTTCTAGCATTTTTGTTAGCGTTAAGGCTCCCGAACAAAGGTATATTGACTAAGCAAGTTAAACGCCTAATATTTCGGGCTGGGTTTGTTGTATAAACATCATTCAGTAAGTAATCCTCCATGACAGTGTGCTATGCTAAGCATACGAATGCTTATGGAATGTATTGATTTACAATGTTTGATTTGATAAATAACTTACGTAAACCAAGAATGAGAACGTTTAGTATAACTGTCTAGTTGAAGTCGATACCTAAAGCTATCATTTATAGTATCAAAATGTGTTATAATACTGTTAGGGGATAAAACTCAAGAAGATGGGGCGATTATGAAATACATTTCCCAAATTCCATCGTCAGCTTGCCAACCAGTTGCACAGTATATGATTCGTTTTTAAATTACTCATCGGTAAGTAGTTTTTGATGCAACAGCAGTATGACCAATATTTTCACTGTAAACCACTGAGCTGAAAATATAGGTTGGGGTATTTAATACAAAAGTGATATGAAATGATAAAACATTTTACTGGGCATCATGAATGCATGGAGCTTGTTCATGCAAGTCAGATTCACTTGATTCGAACACTTCCACTTTATGAGGTAATCTGTTCAGAAGGTAAAATCTGGCGATTAACGTATGAATCTTACAAGTACTCAGTTGCCACTACCCAAAATAGATACTTTATCTAGTTTGGGTTTCACACTCTGAGAAATCTAGTCATACGTCGCTAGCAAATAAACAGTATGTTAGCCTTAGGTAAACATAAGAAGCCTTTCAAATAA